GTTAGCTCATGGCTTTCAGCGTGCGGGTGGATCAGACCGGATGACGCATACTCATGCGGCTCTAGCAAGCAGTATCCCAGGTCTCGTAGTGCGATATCCCAACAGAAACGGCGAGGCGCTGAAACAGGCGCCGTGGACGAACGTTCTTGCTCTCCTGGGAAGCAACGGAGATGAGATTATGCTGAAACTCTTGCTCGATTGCGGTATATTCACAGCCATTGACCACAGGAAAGGGATATATTACCAGATTAGTGGTGAGTCCTGTCAGCTGGCCATGCCTTTGGGGAGAAGCACTCAGAGATGATGAACAGGTCTCCCACTGTCGAGCCTGGAACCAGTCAAAAAGGAGCTGCCTCAGGAACTTTCAGATCTCAGCAGAGTTTCCATTCATACAGCGAACAACGCTGATGGAATTGGTTCTGGCCTCAAAAAAAGGAAGACTGCACACCAGGAGGTTGTACACCAGCCGAACAGTATTGTCTTCTTTCGACGACGCATGCTCTATGCGAAACCACGGCTCAACTCAAAAGGCGACGTCCATTTTGGCTTGACACGTCAACGTAGGTGCTTGAGATACTTATTCCCTTCCGAGACTAACGAGGTTCAGACGTACTGCATTGCTACCCTCGATCGGACTCATTGTCTGAGACGGTGCACATACTGAAGTACATCTTCCCTAGACAATATGGTTTGCATAACGTTTTCACGTCTGTCACTGACAGTCGTGAAACCGTCTTGCCATTCAAAGATTACTTCTCTAGGGAGACCGAGATAGCGCAGATTGAGGAACAGAAACGCAAGCGCCGCCAACGCATTGGTCCTGGATTCACGAATCATTTTGAAAAGCATAATGATCTTGTCGAAATACCGAAGCGGCTCCGCGGGAAGGCCATTGAATTGGTGCAGCAGTTGCAGAATCGAAACCGGCGTTGTCCATACGTGAAACTCTTGGACTACTACTGTCCGACAGAGGTATGTCCGTATTTCCACAAAGCGGGGATAAGTGTTGATAGCTCAGGATGTCGGGCCTTGGAGACTCGGTCCTACCCATTCTCAAGAAGGGTCGATGGTCAAGGAACCTCGTACGGTGCCGGATCAGCTGGTAACCCAACCACAAGGCGCTCAGCAATATGCGCCTAGAGATATAGACCCTGTAGAAAGCTTGCGGACAAGGAATGGGACCCGTGAAACACGGAAAGGGACTGCCAAGTCCATAGTCCCAGAACCGAAACAGAGTCTGATGGACTACGCGACGCCTTCTTCGTCTGTATCGGCCTTCTGCCGGGCAGTACTGCGAAAGTTGATTCCCGCACAATTTTATGGAGTTGGCCAACATCAGAAAAGCAACCAAGAGGTCGTATTTAGCCATGTCGATAGATTCATCCGCATGCGAAGGTTTGAGAGTTTGAGTCTTCACGAGGTTTGCAAAGGAATCAAGGTTTGTCTGCCCTTGACGTTGGTTTGAAAGGCTTCTTACATGATTTAGATCGCGAATATACCATGGCTTGCCTCTCCAGGTAACCAGCATCAAGAGTCTCTATCGGGAAGGAAACTTTCATTATCTGACCTGCAGAAACGGACGGAACTTCTCCACGAGTTCATCTACTACATATTTGATTCCATTTTGATACCTTTGATTCGTTCCAACTTCTATGTTACCGAATCACAAATCTACCGCAACCAGCTCTTCTACTTTCGACATGACGCGTGGCGCCACTTAACTCTACGGCCATTGGCAACTTTCAAGATGACTCTTTTTGAAGAGATGAAACGAGCCGATGCGGAGCGTAGGCTGGGCGGAAGGTCCCTGGGCTATAGCTCTCTGCGGCTTTTGCCAAAGACGACAGGCGTTCGGCCGATTTTGAATCTTCGGCGACGAATGCTCCAGCCAGGATGGGCTGGGAAGGCTTCGTTCCTGGGCCCGAGCATCAACTCCACCATCACACCGATATTCAATGTCTTGAACTATGAGAAGGCACGTAACCCTGGGAGTCTGGGTTCAACCCTGTCTTTTGTCGGCGAAATACACCCTCGTCTCAAGAGCTTCAAGGAGCGTCTGTCTCAGAGTCACCCGAGTGCTCAGCGGCAACCGCTTTATTTTGTCAAGCTCGACATTCAGTCTTGCTTTGATACTATTCCTCAAGAGGAACTTATTCCTCTCATTGAAAGCCTATTCTCCGAAGAAGGCTACCAGATCGGGAAACATGTGGAAGTTCGGCCGCCAGACGAGTTCAGCAGCATGTGGCCGGTGCAAGAGTCCCATCAAAGCAAGGCTCTACGCAAATATGTTGGCAGAGCAGCGCCCGTGTCGAAACCGCAGCATTTGACTGACGCCATTGCCGATGGTGGCATCAGCCACAGGAGAAACACCGTCTTCGTCGATACGCCGGCTTACAAGGAGTACTCCGGCGACCATCTACTGGACTTACTTGATGAGCACATTCGGTACAACTTGGTCAAGGTTGGGAGGAAGTATTTCCGCCAGCGGAACGGCATCCCTCAAGGCTCAATACTATCGAGTGTTCTGTGCAATTTGTTCTATGCACAAATGGAGCGGGAATCTCTAAGTTTTCTCGATCCCAATGAGGCTGTTCTTCTCCGGTTAGTGGATGATTTTCTGCTTATCACGACCAGCACGAGCTTGGCGATGCGTTTTCTGCAGGTGATGCTCAAGGGACAACCCAAGTACGGCATCTGCGTCAATCCAGCCAAGAGCCTTGTCAATTTCTCAGCGGCGGTAGACGGGGTACAGATTCCTCGGCTTGAAGGCAGTCACTTGTTCCCTTACTGTGGAAGTCTGATCGACACCCGGACTTTGGAGATATACAGGGACCAAGACCGAATCCTCGAGGGGACAGACTCGGCCGCTGCCACTATCTCCAGCGCGCTCACAGTGGAGTCAACGCGAGCCCCCGGCCGTTCTCTACACCGAAAAGTTCTCTCGTCGTTCAAGCTCCAGATGCATCCCATGTACCTAGATACCAAGCACAACTCGCTCAACGTGGTGCTCTGGAATCTGTACGCGAACTTGGTTACCTCGGCCATGAAGATGTACCGATACATGAAGGCTCTGCCTCCTCGGGCGCATCCCACCCCAGACGTGGTAATCCGAGTCATCCAAGATCTGACCGAACTCGCTCATCGCATGATGCGCGCCCGACGGGAGCTCAAGTCCAGGGATTCTTGTTCGCCATACATGTGCCTCGTGCAGCAGCAACAGGTCCAATACCTCGCCGCAGCAGCGTTCCGGTTTGTCCTAGGCCGGAAACAGACCAAGTACGCAAAGGTACTGCGGTGGTTGGAGCAGGTGTGGAAAGCGGCGCGGCCGCAATCTGATGGAAAGGCGGCTCGGCTGGCTCAGGTTGTTCGGAATGGCAACTCTGTTTTTGCCAGTTGGCGGTTCTAAGTAACTGGCTATTTACCCTTGATTTGATTCTGGAGGTCATTATTGGCGATCCCCTTGCTGGTCCCTGCTAAGTCGGGGATTTCCTATGGATGCCGTATGCAACTCTCGATAATTCGAGAAAAATGACGTAATCGAGCTCATTGTTATTCGTCGCGTCAAACAAGGGCAAAAAAATCAAGAAATTGTGCCAATTGTACTTCGACAACACAGTAACTTTGTCCTGGGAGTAGTGGGCGACTACACTTTACTGAGGACTTGTGGCATTATTTTTGCTTTTGTTGATGCGCAAGAGCCAACAGATGAACAGCGGAAATAGCGGATATGCAGTGCCTTGGTTCTCTTGCACACTACTCCATGGTTCGTTCCAAGCTCACATACCACGGAAAACCTGAAGTGGGATTGAAATTATGAGATGTGACTGGCTCAAGGCAGTCAGCAAAAGGGGGAGGCAAATCAGGTACTTCCAGGTACTCCTGAGAGGTATGTTGTGGTCGCTGAGAAGAGGAAAATGTCAACAAGGACGGATAGGAGGAGGCTCTTTTATCCAACTTAACATTCTATAGAGACATAACCTTTCAGCTTGTTGACCTTGATGATAGCATCGACTTCTGCTATGGAGTTGGCACAAGTGCGTGTGTATAAGGTATCACTTAGTACTTTACTAGTACTGTTGCTAAAAGCTGAAACGTGGGACAGATACCTTAGGATTAAGGATACTCTCTGCTGTAGGTTACTTTGGCCGTTTTCTAGCCGTCTCGGTACTAGTTTGGTCCCTTCTGAAATGGATGGATAAAATGTCTTCCAAAAAGGTCAAGGATCAACCATTTAGGCCGCAATTGCCAGTTTTTCTAGCTGTTTGCAATTGGCCAGCCCCGAATACAAGATTTCCTAGTGTCAATGAATGTCGGCCTCAGGGCTCAGGCACCCCGTTTGCGGTATGTTACTTGCTACGGAAGGAGGAGGCTAGACTGTTTCCGCTTGTCCCCTAACTAACTAACGAGAGCAGAGGAGCATCTCCTTCATTTCCCATCGCGACTATCCCGTCCCCTCCCATCCCATCATCATCATCATATCATAGCATCTCTTAGCATCCTTCGTTTGCCTCATTTTCTTATTTTTTTCCCTTTCTTTTCCCTCGCTTTTCTTTTTCCCGTCTCCGTCCTTCGCTTGAATTCTCTCATCCCTCGTTATACATCTTTTCTTATCTTCTCATCGAAATACTCACCTCACCACCTCTCGTTGAGCTTATCCTCCTCCCAAATACCATCCCCTCCCGTGGGCAATTCTTAATCCCCTTGTTGAATTGCTCCCCCTTCTCTCGGCGGTACCCTTGTTCCCCGGATATTGCTCTCGTTCTGGAATCATTGTCGGCTGGGCTTGTTTCAGGAGTAACTGCAGAACCAGGGGATATAATCTGACACCGATAGCCTCTGCAATCGTCCTTCTTTTTTTTTTTCCCTGCTTCATTTTAATTTTTTTTCTTCGCTTGGGCCGGTCACCATTTTCATACACGGCAATTCCTTTCTTTGGTTTAACTTGCGTCTTGCGTCCAAACTAGCTCTTGCTACGCCCATACATCAATTCGGTACATGAGATGACGACCATCTGCACGACACCCAATTCTCCGCCCGAACTATCGGGATCCAAGTCCTCTAAATCTTCCTCCTTCCGTTCCTCTTCTCAGCTGTCCGGTCCCGACGGTATTCTCGCCGACATTTCCAATTTCGAAGAAATCGGCCTGGAGGATGACCCGGAGTTGCCCTACATGGATGGTGTTACTACTGCTTATGGCAAGTCGGGGGTCCTGGCTCGCTCGTCGACAGCCAGGTTGCAGCCCAAAGCTCCGCTGACTACGACGCGCGACTTGACGTCGACGGTCAAACCCACCAGGACTCCTTATCCATCGCTCAAGGGCCAGGTCAATGGGGCATTGACGAAACCGAAGCACAGCAGCTCCAAGCTTAGGTCAGGCAATCAACGAAGTGCGAGCAGTACTCAGACGTTACCGATTCAATCTTCCAGACCCCATCGTTCACGATCCAATTCACCGCTTCGAATGGCGTCTAATCTGGGACCATCTCCCTCCGCTCAGACCTTGACAGTTTCTCCCGTCAGCAGTCGACCCCCGCTCAATCGCAAGAGTTCGTGGCAGCGAAGCCGCAAATCCCTTAAAGAGCTCGAGGAGGAATACCATGACTCCGATGAGGAGCTGCCAGATGATACGAGCTTGTGGAACGTCCCTATTTCCCCCCGGCCAGTGCAAGATCGCGCACCGTCCCGAGGTACCAGTCCGGATGGCCGAAGTCCAGGACCGCGTCCGCTCCCGTTGTCGCATTCTGTCTCGGACATGTCCGTTTTGTCTTCTACGAATGCGAAATCCCCCAAGGGATCTCGGTCGAGCCGACAGATGGTGCGCTCAAGCTCCGCTGGTCCTGAGCGAGGACAGATCTCGCCTCGCAATCCACGCATTTACTCGTACAACAATATGCTGTCGGATCTGTCGGAGGAGGCGAAGATTATCACTCAAGCTCTGGAATATCATGCCGACGAACGCGAGCGCAGACGTGCAGAGAACCTCCAGAACGGCATCTCCTCGCTACGGTCCAGCACCGAATCGAAACGCGATTCCAAAGCGACCATCGAACTGCCTCCTCTGCAAAAGTCCAATATCATGATCGATCCGTTGCCCATCAGCAAGGAGAAGGAAAAGGTCCTTACGCGTACGCGGCCTAGCTGGCTTCCCCCCAAGGACCAAAAGGAAGAGAAGAGACATCTGAAAGAATATAAGAAAATGATGGCAATGGCGCGCGAAGCAGGTTAGTCCATTTCTTCATTCTCGGCGTTCAACGACCTTTGTTAGTAACACACTATAGACAAGCGCAGAGCTGCCAAAGCCGCTTCGGCCAAATGCGAAAAAGATAATACGCGGGAAGCTCTCCAGCGTATCTGGGATGAGTACGTGTTTCCCAACTGGGATCGCGCTATCGGTGAAACCCGTACGCGAGAATTGTGGTGGCGCGGTGTGCCGGCGCGTCATCGGGGTGCGATTTGGCAGCGCGCCATCGGCAACGAACTATCCCTATCCGAAGAAACGTACAAGAAGGCATTGCAAAGGGCCAAAGACGTTCGCTCCAAATCCGACGGTGAGGCGGGCGAAAGTCATAAGCGGATGAGGGAATGGTTCGATACAATTGAGGCGGACGTGTCGACAGCGTTTCCGGACCTGAAACTTTTCCAGGTGGGCGGCCCACTGCGCGATACTTTGATCGATGTGCTTGAGGCATACTCGATGTATCGAAGCGATGTGGGATACGTCAGTGGTCTTCATGTAAGCTGACCCATCCAGAGCCTTGATTCTGGTTCCATTTTCCTAATTTTGATACAGACGATCGCCGCTCTTCTGGTTCTCCAGTTCCCATCGCCGTCTTCGGCATTCCTTGCCATGGCCAATGCACTGAACCGGCCTCTCCCTGTTGCATTTCTCACGCTGGACCGCGGGGCCATCGGTCGTACGTATTCGCTGGTGTCTGCGACGCTCCGCTACAAGTTCCCTCGCCTGGCGACTCATCTTTATGAGACTCTGCGTCTCAGCGACGAGGAAATCTGGGAACCGATGTTCCGCTCTCTCCTTACGAATGGGCTAGATCTGGAGCGCGTCAGTCGCGTCTGGGACTGCTGGGTGTTTGAAGGAGATCGTATTCTAATTCGCGCCGCGGTCGCGATTCTCGGCTGCTTGCAGCCACAACTGTTTGCATTCACGCAGCCGGACGACCAGGGTCGCGCCGCTGTGAAGGACATTCTCGGAGCGGGCCCTCGCCACGCCGGAAGTAACAAACCTGCCGCCCGTCACAGCGCTCCGGCCGCCCCTATGACTGGTTTCGGTGGTTCTCAGTCCGTCAATGCCGTGGCTGGTGATTACTGGATACTCACCACTGCAGGGGACGAAGATGGGTTCATGAATGAGGTCCGAGAGGCTGGTAAGGTGCGGGATTAAGCGGAGCTGTCGATGGGACTGGCCTACAAGCTGGTCAATTCATGTATCAGCAGTCGTTCGTTGTACAGCTTTTTTTGTGTGTTGCTTTTCTTTCTTCTTCGGTGGATATATTCACTCAGTGGTTCTGGCAAACCGCAACTTAATCTTAGTTTCTTCTTCTCGTGGCCAGCATGTTGGCCGTGCCTTGGCGGTACTTCTCTTTGATGGTCTTAGAGTAGTTGGCTAGATAGCAGCGACAGCAGTTGGCAAATGAGCAGTTACAATTGAGAGTGGCTATGCATCGCAGTGATGACAAGCTTTACTAGTGCAACTCTTTTCTACACTTGGCTTACTTGAATGTATGGTCCACTGTTGATATAGCACTGTTATGAAAAGTAGGTAATACGTGCTGGATCATTGGATTTCTCAACAAAAAAAAAGTCTAAATGTCATTGGTCGTCATATATCTGTATCTGGACTGCACCAGGCCTCCACATGTCTTAGCGTGTATAAAGGGTTTCTTCTAAATCTACCAAGAAATTCTCGCAACAATACCCCTCGGGAAAGCGCGAGCAAGCAGCTTCCTCAACTCATCCATGAACAGAATCCCCAGCGCCAAGGGCAACGGGATGAACCAGAACTCAATCGGGACGCGGGCCGTGCCGAACAGGGTATGGAAACCGGGGACCTCTGTGACGAAGATGGCGATGATCAGGGAGACGAGCATGGCGAGGGGGAGCCAGGGGTTGCGGCGCTGTTTGCGGACGGGGTCAGCGGTAAGGATGGAGAGGCGCTTGTTGCGGACGGAGAGGATGTTGCCCCATTGGAGCATGACGAGGGTGACGAAGTAGACGCACTGGCCGACGTTGTTGAAGTTGGTGAGCTCGTCGGCGGAGTAGCCGTAGAAGCCGTCGGTGTAGGATTCAAAGGCGAAGATGAGGGCGTGGAAGGGGATGCCTGCTTTCTTGTACATGTACAGGAAGAACATGGAGTGGGCGATGATGGTCTCCATGACGCCGATGAAGAGGTAGGATTGGCCGTAGATCTTCAGGTTGATGAGGTGGTCTTTCTTGTGGTTGCGGGGCGGGATGCTGAGCAGGTCGAATTCCTCCTTCTCCATGATGAGCGAGAGCGAGAGGAAGAGGTCGGTGAAGACACAGATGATGATCATGAGGAAGGAGCTGAGTGGGAGCGGCACGCCGAAGAAGACGTTCATCAGCACTGGCCAGATCTCAGACCAGCTGCCCGCGGGGAGCAGGTAGGCGATGACCTTTTGCAGGTTCTGGAAGACCAGGCGGCCGAGGCGGATCGCGTCGACGATGGAGTCGAATTTGTCGAGCAGGACCAGGTCGGCCGCCTCGATGGCGACGTCGCTGCCGGATACGACGGCGATGCCGACGTCGGCGGTGCGCAGCGCGGGGGCGTCATTGACACCGTCGCCGGTCACTGCGACGACATTGTCGCGCGCCTTGAACTCCTCGACGATGCGGTACTTTTGTTCCGGCGAGGTGCGGGCGAAGACGATCTCTTCGTATTGGCACACGGCGTCCCACTGTTCATCGTTGAGGGAGGATATGTGTGGGCCGTCGATGAGAAGACTGCGTCGAGAGCGGAGAGATTGCTTCTCATTCTCCTCGTCGCTGGTGAACGGCCTCAAGTCATCGATCGTGTCTGGCTCCGCGGTACCGCTGAAGATGCCCACGTCCCGGGCAATGGCAGCGGCGGTCAGGCCAAAGTCGCCCGTCACCATGAAGAAGCGGATGCCTGCACGGCGGCAGGCCGCAATGGTCCGGGCCGTCTCGGGACGGGGCAGATCGACGATGCCAAAGATGCCAATCACCGTCAGGTCCTGGACACCCTGTGCCAGGATCTCATCGTTGAAGTCGTTTGATCCCACTGCGGCACTTGGGGTGTAGTGCCGTTGGCAGAGCACAATGACACGCTCTGCACGTTTTGACAGGGACGCTTGGAAGGCCGAGAACATCTTGCGCGCATTCTCGTCCATGGGCTTGACTTTGCTATCAATGCCGGAGTAGTACGATGAGCACCGAGGCAGAAGAACATCTGGTGCGCCCTTGACGTAGGTGAGATAGCCGCTGCTGCTCTGGGGATCCTTGTGCATGGTAAGCATCCACTTGTTCTTCGAGTTGAACGGAATCTGGTGGACTCTTTCGTACTGGGCATACTGCGAAAGGCCGTTGGGCTGAGCGAGCTCGGCGAATCGTAGGACGGCAGCATCGGTCGCATTGCCCGCCACCTCTCGGTCATTCACTGGCAGTCCGATTGTCGCGGGATCAAAAAAGGCGTCATTGCACAGGAACGAGCCCCGAAGAAGGATGCTCAGCGCCTCGGGCCACTCGGTCGAGCCCCGCTGATCTCCAAGCAGCTGATCTACGTTGAGCTCTTGATCGATCAGGCCGAGTGACCTGACAAACATCTTGTTCTGGGTCAATGTGCCCGTCTTGTCTGAGCAGATGACGTTGACACAACCCAGGGTCTCCACTGTTGCAAGTCCCTTTGGCAGAATGTTGTTCTTCTTCATCCGCTTGGCTACCATCATCAGAGTGAGTGCCACTCCAACAGGCATACCTTCAGGGATGAACGCAACGACGCAGCCCATCACGTTGTTCAGCATCGCGACCACGTTCATGTACTGGTAGTGATCCACACGCAACCAACCCACCCAGGTGAAGAGGATGATCAGAACCAGGGTGATGGTCAGGCAGATGATGATTCTCACAAAACGAGAGATCTCCTTTTGTATCAACGTCGGCTTCTCCTTGACGCCAGTGGTCATTTTGGCGATGCGACCCATGACAGACCGACTGCCGGTGAGTACCACTACACCGACCGCATTGCCGTTGGTGACGCTTGTGCCCATGAAAGCAATATTACGGGTTTCCAAGAAGTTGTCGTCAGTCACGTCGATGGCGCCTTCGATCTCGTCAGACTCTCCCGTGAGAATAGAACGGTCGAAGCGGACGTCTCCAGATGTCTGGAAGAGACGCATGTCCGCGGGGACTTTATTGCCGATGGAAACATGGACAATGTCACCAGCAACAAGTTCCGTGGAAGGCACGCGGATTTGCTTCCCGTCTCGCACAACAAGGGCTTCAGACGGGAGCAGGTTGAGGATCGAGTTCATGACATGCTTCGTAGACCAGTCTTGGAATGCAGAGAAGCTTGCTTGCAGGAAGATCACGATGAGGACGAGGATGGCCATGGCAAGATTCGGGACCGACGGTGGATTGCTGAGGGGCTGCCAACAAATGAAGAAGATGATGACGCCGACCCACAGAACCGAGCAGAAGCCGCCAAAGACATAGAAAAAGATCTTCTTGAGGTAGTTCTCGTTATGATGAGCGATGACATTCTTCCCATCCCGCTGCAGTCGAGTGTTGGCAGCAGACGAGCTGAGACCGGACCGGGGGTCCACGTTGAGTTGCTGCAAGAGTCTGTCGGGCTGGAGGATGTGATAGTCCAAGCTTTCGAAATAATCTTGATCGGTCTTATTCTCCTTGGCCTGCCTTGCTTTGATGGCCGCTTCTGTGGCGTTCTGGGACTCGGAAATCTGAAAGGAGAGGGTCCTGAACTCGATAGGGATCCCCGCGGCCTTGTTGCTCTGGGCGGCATCGTGAGAGCTGCGAATGGTGTCTCGGCTCAGAGAACGATGCCGACTGAGTCGAGAGTGGTAGATTCCTCCACCTCCCTCTTCCGCCGGTACTGCCTCATCGAATTGGATGCGGGTTGTACGACCCGTTCGATCATCAGGGGACTCGTTAGGGTTATCAACTCCCGATTCGAGATCTTGTTTCAAAGGTTCGGAGGAAGCAGGAGACTGAGCCATGTCAAGAGCAGCGATTCCAAGAGTGCTATGAGACTGAACACTCAGGTCTGCTGTCTAATTATGTCGGAGACTCTGGGAGGGACGGGAAAATAGAGGGAAAGTGAGAGGATGGAGGAGGCCATGGAGCTGGCATGATGGCCGTCTTATATGCGAAAAAACCTGTCGATCTACTAACCAAGGAGGGATAAAAGGGCACGAATGGGTAATTCAGATACTACAATGCGAGATTTTGCTCAATTGGGGGGAGCCATGACAAAGGATCTTGGTCACCGTAAACACTAGACTATCTGCTTGGGGGATAGAACAGTGGAGGCAAAAAAGAAATTATGAGATCAGAAGGACCGGTACGAGATGAGTAAGACATTGTACCCGATGGACGATGACCAGACAGAAAGGGACAAGGCATAGAGAGATTATAAGGACTTTGGGGGAGGATGGAGAGCAGAGATGGCACTGTCCGTGTACGCTCCTCCGCATGTATCCTTTCTTGCACCGAGTAACTGGTTCCAAGGTCGATGATTTTGATGAAGCCGGTAGCAGCAATTCTGGTATCAATGGTTAGAAGCAAATTTCTTTTTGGTAGAATAGACTGGGATGGGGATAGAATCAGCCGCAGTTGAGAGAGGGAGAGTGAGGGAGAGAGCGATTGACAGTCAGAGGGCTCCATGAGGGAATTTTTTCCTCCACAGAAAAGGTACCACTTCCATGTGCTTTTTCTGAACAGATACCGTAGCCTCGACAGACTTTGGATCGCAGTATGAAAACAGACCGCCACCCATGTCCGTCAGGCAAGGTTTTTTTTCTGGCCAGGATTAATCCCTCAGCATGATAGTCTCAAGCCATGGTCATGTCGAGGCTGCTCTAATTAAGCTCAATCCGTGCGCTAACAGGAGCGCCACACTGACATCGGAAAATTTCCCTCGAGATAGACGAAATTAGTGCCTGGTCCATAGTTAGAATAAGCAGTAGGACCGATAACGTGGGAAGAAGCGAGAGAGGGATTTAAATTGCCTCTGTCGCTTGCAGCCGCGGTCCTCTCGTTTCTCTTTCGTCCGGAAAATGCCTCAGCGGGACACTAGTCAATTCCCCCGTCACGTCCTCTGTCCATGAGTCTTTTGTTTGAGCAAATCGCGGATTAAACCAGCACGTAAGAGATTTCTCCCACTCCGGTGAG